ATCATCAAGGACCACTTCGTAATCCTCCCACTCGCCATTGGATTCCTGAGGATAGTGGTCAAAGGCTGAGTGGTGAACACCGTCACCGGGTGTGCCTGGAAGTACGACGCCAAGCGCTTTATTGCCGCGATCAGCGCCAGGATCGTCTTCTCCATCAGCGTGTACCTTGTCTCCGGGACGTTCAGCGCCTTGCTAACGAAGTATATAGGCCGTTGAACACCCTCAACCTTCTTCAGCAAGACGGAGCTTACCGCCAGGTCAGCTACTGCTAGATACATGTATAGCGGTTCGCCGGGATCCGCTTTAGTCAGGACAAGTGGCGAGGAGAGGTACGTCTTGAAATCTTCAAAAGCTGTCTGACACTCCGGGGCCCATTCAAATGGGTTGGCCTTCTTCATGATCTGGAAGAAGGGGATCGCCCGATCAGCCAATTTTGACATAAACTGGCTCAGTGCCGCCAAGCGCCCAGTAAGTCTCTGCACATCTTTCAAATTTCTGGGAGCCTCCATGTCCATGATGGCTTTCACTTTTTCTGGGTTAGGCTCGATTCCCTGTTCGCTCATCATGTAACCAAGAAATTTCCCTCCTTTGACAGCAAAGGCACACTTCTTCGGGTTAAGCCTCATGTTTGCTCCCTCCATGATGGTGAAAACCCGTTCCATATCCTGTACGTGGTTCTCCTTCTTCTTGCTCTTGATCAGGATATCGTCCACGTACGCCTCCATGATCTTCCTGAGGACGTCCTTGAACAATATCCCGATCATCCTCTGGAAGGTGGCCATTGCATTCCTCAAGCCGAACGACATAACCACATAGCAATACACCCCGTCTGACGTAACAAATGCAGTTTTCTCAGCATCGTCTGGATGCATGAATACTTGATGATACCCCCTGAAGGCATCCATGAAACTGAGCAGCTCGCATCCCGCGGTCTCATCCACCAACAGATCAATCCTTATAACAGAGTGGGGGTCCATTGGGCAAGCTTTGTTGAGATCAGAGTAATCGACGCACATCCGCCAGAGTGGGGGTCCATTGGGCAACCTTTGGAGGATCAAGATCGCCCCTTCCCGGATTTCTGGCTCTAGACCGGTCCCAATGGACACCTTCCGATCGGAAGGATAGTCCAGTTCCACTTCCTCCAGCAAAGTAGTCGGCTCTGGTCGGAACATGACCTCCTCTTCCCGGACTGTGTCTGCAATGCTATTGACCCTCATATCCTTCTCAGTCATCCTCTTTACCGCTTCCTTGTAACATGCTCTTGCTGTGTCTGGATTCGTACGAGCATCGCCCACCCCAGTTTCCGTGGGGAATTTTATACAGGAGTGCCGTACGGAGCAGATGGCCTCGAGGTCCTCCAGTCCGGGGCGTCCCAGAATGGCGTTGTGGGCGCATTTGAGCCGCACCACCACAAACATCATGGGGATCGTTGCCCCGTGCTCTCTGTCCCCGATCTCTACTGGCAGGACGATCGTCCCTTCTGCATCAATGTTGTGGTTGGTGAAACCAGCCAGGGGTGTCCGTAGTGGGCTCAAATCGGCCCTGCTCAGATGCATCTTCTCGAACACGTCCCAGTAGAGGACATTGACGCTGCTTCCTGTGTCGACCAGAACTCGCCGGATTATCCACTCCCGGATATCCATGCAGATTACCAGCTCATCCCTGTGCGGTCCTGGTGATTGTGGTAGATCCGTTGTCCCGAATGTGATAGGTTCGGCCTTGTGTTTTTTTGGCGGGAGGTGCGGAGATAGAATTTACCCGGAGGGCCCTCTCGAACTTCTTTCTCTCCGCCGGGGTATCCCCAGTTTCCGCCCCTCCGAAAATCATCTTGATTTCCATTTTCTTCTTGGAGCCGACCGGCCTGAGGGACGCCTCTGGCCGCTTGCCGTTATGACGAAAATCCTCCTCCTTGACCCCAGCCTCTCGCCAATCATCCCGGCACCAGCTGTAGGGCCTTCTATGCTGCTGTGAGGGGCCCTGATATGCTCCTCCCGCGGTGAACTCACCTATATACCCCCTCTCGGTAAGCTGCTGGATGGCGTACCTCATACTTTTGCAATCGTTCGTACGGTATCCCAGCTTGCGGTGATATTCACAGTAGGCTCCCGTGTTCCGGCCCATCATGAGCCCCTTGGTGGGCACCGGCTCCTTGAGCAGCCCCTTGTCCTTGATAGCCCCAAAAATCTGACTGATTGGGTAGGCCAAGGGAGCTGGCCCCATGCCTACACGGGGGTCGTCTCCCGGGCGTTCCTGTGCGGCCCAAGGGACGTAACCGTCGATCGTCTTCTTCTTCTTGAGTGCCGGTGATTCTACCGACCCGGGACCCAATCGGCCTGATGCCTTGCGCGCTGCGGGGGCCGCTGCCCCATCCCACTGTGAAACCTCTTCCTCGATTGCAGCGAACTTGTGCACACGGGCCAGCACCTTGGCGTAGTTGCTCCCGGGGTTCCTTTTTAAGTCCACATAGAGGTCCCCGGTTGCCAACGCATTGGTAAAGAGGGTGATGTCGGTGCTCTCCGGAAGGTCCTCCACCTTCAGGGTCTCGTCCCTCCACCTGACCAGGAAAGCAAATATGGATTCTCCCTTGTTCTGATGGGCGTTCGTCAACCAACTGAAGTGTTTCTTGGGTGTAGAGCTTGATGCGAACTGAGCCATGAACTGCCGGGATAACTGTTCAAAGTTGTCAATGGACCTGGGCCTGAGCTGCCCGAACCATTCTTGCGCTGGTCCCGTGAGGGTGCTGAAGAAAAGTCTGCAAACAGCCTCATCAGAGGCTCCCAACATAGAGAGTGTTCCTTGATAAGATAATAGATGGGCCTTGGGGTCCCCGACCCCATCATAAGTCAGTGTTCCAGGAGGCCGAACGTCCCGTGCAATGTCTACCGCCATGACCCTGTCAGTGAAAGGGGGTGAGAGTGCAATCCTGGGTTGTGCCTATGTATTCTCCGTACGTCGATTCAGCTCGTTTATCTGTCTTTGCATGTCCATGAGCATGGCATCTCGCGGATCGGCCCCAGCGGGCGCGGGGGTTACCAATGCCAAGGTATTCCCCCTTGGCGTAATGCCATGATTATGCTGACCATGGTATACTCGGGCCTCCAACATCATGCCATCCACCACGGGGGTATGTTCCCGAGCCGCTCGTCCATCGCGGGGCATGACCGGCGTGGGGTCCTGGACCGTGTGGCGCTGCGTTCCCCTGAAAGGCCTGGCTCCCGCGGCGCCTCCCATACCCAGAGAGCGGGTGTTCTGAGTTATCCTGGAATGGACCGAACGGCGGGGATGGTTGTTTTCACCGGTATGCTCGGCGAAAGACTGCATGGGGCGGATGGGTGAGAGCGGGGTCCGCTCGGTGTTGGCAGTATGCACACGCTCTTCCTCCCGCTGGTCCGCTAGTCGGCGGATGGTATCCGCGATATCTCGTAGTACGTTAGGGTCCCTACGGAGCTCCTGGGGAATCAGGTCAGTGAGTATCCCAACCCCCCCCCCCGACTCCACAGGCTGGTGGACTGGGCCCCCATCGCCTGGTTGCGGCTCCTCCTGCTGTGAGCCAGTCGCGAGGAGAGGTCTTGAGAGTTACCCGTGTTGTTAGTGTTCATTTTACTTGCCTTGCGGTTGTCTTAGAGTTTTTTAATGGAGAGCTTGATTAGGAAAACTTTTTGATCAGTTTCCCAGAGACGGCGCCAGTGTTGAGGTTTACTCCCCTCAACCCGCAGGCCCAAAACGTAACCTGAGGGTTTCGAATGGGTGGAAAGCAAAGCGAGCTCACTAAACAATGGGGAATGGGCTAATAACTGTATTTCATTCACCCTAGCGATTACAAGCCGAGGGTCGAACGTACTAAGCTATGCTACGTGCTGTTGATGCTATTACAATACTAGAATGTCAAAGTGCGAACCCTTTACAATGAAATAAATGCGACTATTTATAGTATCCCATGGTGGTTGGGGGGGCTGACGTGGCCGGTTGTGGACGACATGATTGCAACCACCAAATCTCCTGCATTTAATGCGCTTCCCGCCAAGATCTCCATTTCCTGCCATAGCGTGGGGACGTCCGTCCCCTAAACTGGACTCAGCCCTCTTGTGGCAGTCTGGGCCCTTGAGCGTAGTCTACAAGATGCTCGTCCCCTGGCCCTTAGGCCCTGAAGCTTGGTCCTTCGGAGGCTACGTACGTCCCCTGGCCCTGAGGCCTGGCTATGCTGGGTTACGTACGTCCCCTGAGCCTTGGGCCCTGAAGCTTATTCCTACCAGATCAGGAGCTCTCATCCTCAACTTCCCATTTCGATGATCTGTAGCTAGCAAGCTCGATGGCTCCTGTGAGTTCCCTTGCTTCTGGCTTTGTTTTGCTCTCGACGGGAAATTCGTGGAAATCCGAAGGGGAGCGCATAGAGTTTCCGTGTATTCTTTCCTTTGTATTTTAGCTTTGGAAATCCACGGGGGATCCTTAGCAATCCAGAGTTAAAGAATCCACGGACAATTTGAGGACACCAGAATTTTAGCAGACTCCACACAAATCCAAATTCAGGACACCCAAATTCAGATGGAATTCTAAATTCTTTTAAAATGTATTAGAATCCATATTGGGGACACCCCTCTAAATTAGGTCCTTTTGGTTCTTGTCAAGCAAAGATATTGGCCAATGCTAAAGTACAGTAAAACTGTAATACTACATCCGTTCTTAAATAAGTGCAACATGTTAGATTTTACACTATTCACATGTTTTACTTTGACTACATTTTATTTATTGATGTATTAATATATATTTTTGGAAAAAATATTATTTAATTTGTCTCATTGTAAATTTTCAAAAATTTATTTTTTAAATTTTTTTACTAATAGAGAATTATATATATTAACGGTCAAAGTTGTGCCTCGGCAAGTGTGAAATGTTAGACTGTTGCACTTATTGAAGAACGGAGGAAGTAGTACTTGCTATGTATGGGACCCACTTCCCGATCTTCCCTGCCACTCTTGTTCAGCCGTATCCGCATATTAAAGAAAAACCTAGGGAAACCAAAGCCCGCGCGGGAGAACGACTGAAAAGTGAAAAACACAACGAAAGGGGATTTCAGAAGATACCCAATCCATCACCCACAGAGATTTACTATCCACCCTTGCCCCGTCTCAATTCTTATTCTTGATAAAAAGGTGCACCTTTCTACTCCATATTTGTTTGTTTGGTTCCAAAATTTGATTTTATTTCTTGGAATTTCAGTGCGGTGTGTTTATGGGTCTCACACATCACAACCATCCTCCGGTTCTTTGATCTTGCTCAATTTTCACCCAGAAGTTCGTTTCATTAATTCTTCTGCTCGCTTCTTTTTTCTTATTTACCAGAGGTGAGATTTATAAAAGATTGGAACTTGAATTTTAGGGCATGGGCTTTATAGCTATCGTTTAGTAGTTCTTGAGCTATATAATCATGCAAACCCTTGAAGCCGTTGGTGGTTATGGTGGTGTTGATGATGAACGGAGGTGCAAAAGGTCTAATTCAACAATACGGTGGAGATGTAAAGAGAAAGCTCTTGAGGGCGGAGTTTTCTGTGAGAAACACTTGATATGGCACCGCGAGACAACTGCCAAGCGTAAGCGTAAGCGTAAGCGTCTGGAGATTTTGCGTTCTTCAGATGCGTCCCTGAAGGGTAAGAAGAGGCGTTTAGGAACTCGATCTGTTGAAAATGTGAATGGGGCAGTGAAGAAGCGGGGTCAGCCCAAAGGCTCAAGCATGAGCAAGAAGGAAACTGATGAAAGTGGTACACTGTTTCTGACACCTCAGTCTACTGGAGTTGTACTTAAGAAGAAGACGGGGAGACCAAAAGGTTCAAAGAATAAGAAGAAACCTGCTGAAAAGAAACAAGGGTTTGAACAGTTGATTCTTGAAAATAGTAAGGCAGGTCTAGTTGAAAACGAATTTGGCGGAGAGAGAACTCTCAAGAAGAGGGGCCGACCTAAGGGTTCAAAAGGCAAGAAGAAATTTACTGTAGCTGGACCATTGATGTGTAAAATTAACAAGTTAGGTGTACGTGCAAATGAATTAGTTGTTCCCAAGAAGAGGGGCAGACCAAAGGGCAAGAAGAATCAAGTTGGTGGTTTGATTACTCAAAAACAACAAGAATTTGGACCATTGGTGCTTCATGATTGTCCGGTAGGGGTGATGGATGAATTATTGAGAACCGACGGGACACGAAAGAAGAGGGGAAGACCAAAGGGTTCATCAAAGGGTAAGAAGAAACATATTGAAGGTAGTGCTTTGGTTTTTTCAAAGCAAGATGACTTTGAACCGTTGATAATTGAAGATAGTGGGACAGGGACAGTTGTGAATCATCAACTTTCTGCTTGTAATAAACGGAAGAGAAGGAGACCAAAGCTTTCAGAAGAAAATAAGAATGAAGCAATGACTGGGGCAGTCAGGAAGAGGGGCAGACCTAAGGGCTCAAAAGGAAAGAAGAAAGCTCTTGTTGTTTTAGGTGACACACCTACGGAACTTGAAGATAATGAGGTAGGGATAATTGTGAATCCGAGGAAGAAGGGAAGGCCTAAGGGTTCATTGGGTAAGAAGAAGAAGGAGACTGTTTTAAGTGGTAATGAATCTGGGGTTTTGATATCGTTGAACGGTCAGTATGGTGACGGAACTGTTGAGAAGGACAGGTGTGTAAGAAAAAGTCTTGTATTGGGAATTGGGGCAGTCCTTAAGGAAGCTGCTAATGGTAATATTCGTGGAAGAAACAGCATGGCTTCAAAAAGAAGACCAGTGAGGACTACTTTTAACTTTTTTCAAGCTCTTTATTTTGAATTTATTAAAAAGGAATTATTGCAAGTAGGAGTAAAACACTGGCTATGTGCACAAATAGGAGTTTATGTGGTGTTGTGCTAAAAATATGACTTTTTTAGTCCTACAAGGGGAATAAAGTAATTATTTATTCTTGCTTTTGGATTGAATAAGTCTTATTTTCAATAGAAAACAATGATAGTCCTATTTTAATGGAGGTGTTATGTATTTATTAGGCAACCGTTTACTTTCATCATCATCATCCTGAGTGAGTAGCACCTTAATACCAGCTAGTCAGGATCGTTGGCTTGAAATTTGTAGTGCCAATTAAAATCAAAGGAATTGTGGTATAGACTATCTATTCCCTTGTACATAGCAGTTTGTAGGTTTGGCTCTGGACATTCCGTTTATGAACATTTTAGGGGTCAAATTGTCAAAATGCTGACAGCTGCTTCTAGAAGTGGCTTGCTAACTCAAACCGAATATAAATCCTCTTTTCTCATTTGGCACAGTCAGGCACATTCTTATGAAGTACTTAAACTGCATTTGTGTATGTCTGAAATACTCCATCTTAACAAACTCTTTGAAGAATTCAAGATATAATTTCTTCTTTTCTTCCACAACAGCCTCTACTTAATTTCTTTAAAAGGTTAGTAATCGCAACATACACATGGTTAGTAATTGCAATATATGTATTTGGCTATTTGCAACCACATTTATTACACTACTCCTCGAGGTTACAACATATTCTAATATTGAGATCTTGAGTATGAAGGCACAATCTTTGAGAATCGATAATCTATAGAGTTTGATAGGAAAGAGAACCATAAGACCTTATAATTAAATGTAGATAAGTCTTCTGATATGATTTATTAATTTATGTTAAGTTTTCTAGAATGACAAATTATTGGGATGAATGGAACGGAATACTCAAATATAGAAGCGTTTGTAAAGTAAGTGAACTGGCATAAAAAGTGTTTCATTTGTATTTAAGAGTTTCTATTCTTGCATTACTGCTGCGTTGTTAATCAAGGCTGTTGCCTAGGAAGAGAACTCTAGCATAAATTAATTACTGTTTACCTGAAAAAGATGAATAAAAACGTATTCATTGTATTGTTTTTGCTGGCAATGTAAGACTCTCATTGCAAATTATAGCATTTTGGTTCACTCTTGAATAAGAAGAGAAAAACGTTAATTTATGGATGGTTTTGCAATGATTGTTCAACTAAGAAGAGAAACAGTTGCAGGATGCTACAAATTGGAAGGAAAATGGGACATTAATGTGCCATCAATGCCACAAAACCAATAAAAGCGACATTGTCTTCTGCTTGAATTGCAAAAAGAAACGCTACTGCAGTGAATGCATTGCGAAGTGGTGAGAAGGGAGATTCTATTACATTTTATTTTTTTATTTTATTTTTAAAAACACTGTCATGTGTAATGGAATACTACGTATTTTACTATTTCATTGATTAAATATTTCATTTTTGGTACGCCGAGTGGATGGGGACTGAATTCGCATTATCTATTTTTGCTTTAATGATGAAAAATCTTTTGTATAATGTTTCCTTACTGAAGTGACTTTGTAGTTATTAATATCTACTGTTTGCTTTCCTGGAACAATTGAATAGGTATCCAGAGAGAACAAAGAAAGATATTGAGAATGCCTGTCCTTTTTGTTGTAGCAATTGCAATTGTTCAGCTTGCCTTCAAGCAGATATAACTGCAAAGGTCTCTAGCTATCTCCCCCTACACTCTCTCTAATTTACATTTACACTATGAATAAAGTAATAACTTCATTTTGTTATAGGTCAACATAAAGGAATCCGATGAAGAAACACATTTGCAAAGGTCACTGTATGTGCTGTTAAATATCCTTCCACTTCTCAGGGAGATTCAGGAGGAGGCAAAGACCGAGCTAGATGCTGAAGCCTGTATACGAGGTACAAACAGCACGTTGAAAACACTCCTTTTCAGCTCTATGATATCAAAATTCAGCGCTGTTCTAAATATCAATAGGCTGATGATAGCTCTGTTCTCTGCTATACATTCAGGTGTTCAGTTGACAGAAGAAGATATAACCAAGTCCCTACTTGATAAGGATGACAGAATATACTGGTAAGCCTCCTCAAAGCCTCAATTGTTTTGACAAAATATTATTACTGCGGTGTAAAGATTCTAAAAAGTAAAGCTTCTGGCCTAAAACAATGACCAAGTTCCTGGATGATTGGCATATATATTACTACCTCCATTCCTATACGAAGGCCCACTTTGACCAGCCACGATGTTTAAGAGAGTGAAACTTTGTAGTTTTGATTTATTTATAAGAGACTAATAATATGATTATGTGAGCCACTTATTGCATTCCTTAAAAAACGGTTGATAATTTTTGGATGACCATAGAGAGGACCGAGGGGAGTGCCATTTTTAACATAATAGTTTTTCACTTTCTTTCAATTGACTTATAACTCATTCTTTATCATTATTATTATTAAAATCATAGATATTAATGACTTATTATAATGCTCATACCGATCAGTTTTAACTTTATTCAATCATTTTAATTGGTATGACAGTGACAATTGCAAAACATCCATTGTCAATTTCCACAGAAATTGCCCAAATCCCGATTGCGCTTATGATATCTGTCTCAATTGTTGTCGGGAACTAAGATGCCGTTCTATCCCGGGTGAAAGAACAAGTGATCAAAATGCTCTTTCTGATAAAACTGACTCTTCTGGTGTTTGGGAAAGGGAAAATTCAAAGGAAATATTTTCTCAATGGAAATCAAAAGTCGATGGAAGCATACCTTGTCCTCCAAAGGAACTTGGTGGTTGTGCGTCTGCAATGTTATCACTACGGCGCATATATGAACCTAACTGGGTGAATGAACTAATCAAAGCTGCAGAGGAACTCACTGCCAATTCTCATTTACCCAAAATTGATTTCTCAGAAGCTTGCAATTTGTGCCTTACTGCAATTGGAAACAGCAATCAACATCAAAATGTAAGGCAGGCTGCTTTCAGGAATGATAATCAGGACAATTTGTTGTACTGTCCGAATGCTATTGACTTGCTGGATGAAGAGTTTATTCATTTCCAATGGCATTGGAGAAGGGGTGAACCTGTCATTGTGAGAAATACACACGCCATGGGTACCGGCCTCAGCTGGGAGCCTATGGTGATGTGGCGAGCTTTCAGAAATGCAAGGAAAAAGTTGGACGAGGAGAGTTTCTCTGTGAAGGCAATTGACTGCTTAGATTGGTGTGAGGTATGCATGAATTCTATTTGTGCCCATGATATAAAAGGAAAGTTATAGTTAGCTCTATTATCAAAATTGGATTCATAGGCTTAATGCATTCTGGGATCTTTTTTGGTTTTGCTTTTCCTATGTCTTCCTGTTATCTGAGAGTCGTTCAGCTAATCTCCATGGACATGAAATGATTTCCCCCCATCTAAATACCAAACTATATATCCTTATTTGCCATCTATTAAGAATTATTTTTAGTTTAGATCCTATGACTATCAACTATCAAGCCACTTCCACTTTTAGTCTACGTCTCATTTTTCTACTTTAGTTGCATGATTCGTACTTTTGTCACTCTAATCATCTATCCACTAAAATAGGAATAACCTCAGGGTATATTCAAGCCATACCCTGTTTGCAAAATCTTTTTCCATCATTTCTAGAATGACACTTCTATTTATTTGCACATGAGGTTCTGCAGTCGCATTTAACCAAATAGATGGTTAAAATGACTTAAAGAGGCAACTACATGAGTGTCCTGCACTGGTAGTGAAAAAAATTGAAGTCAAAGACCAGAAGTGAAAATGACTTCATAGTTGTGAGACAGAAAACAGGAATAATTCTTTTAGATAAAACTAACTTCGCTCATTGGCTCTATTATTCTATTCTATATCTACCTAGTTGCATATAATGTTTAGTCAGTCAGCCTTCTAGCCTTCTTCAGATAAAGAAAGTAAAGTAGTTTTACTCGTCTAGCTGAGTTAAACATATTTGTAAAGCTCAGTGGGGCTGACTTGTTCGTTTTTGTAATGCAGGTCGAGATAAATATTCGGCAGTTCTTCAAGGGATACTTGGAAGGAAGGAGTCACAGGAGTGGGTGGCCAGAGATGTTGAAATTGAAGGACTGGCCACCAACCAAGTTTTTTGAAGAATGCTTGCCAAGGCATGGCGCTGAGTTTGTTGCGATGCTTCCCTTCAGTGATTATACCAATCCTAGTTCTGGGCTTTTAAATCTAGCCACTAAGCTTCCTGTTGGGTCAGCTAAGCCAGATTTGGGCCCTAAAACTTACATTGCTTATGGGTCAGAAGAAGAGCTGGGAATAGGTGATTCAGTGACTAAGCTTCATTGTGACATTTCTGATGCGGTAAGGCATACCAATAGTTGTATGTTTTGTTAATGGAGTGTATGTTTTGATGGAAAATTTATTACTCAATGATTTTTTCTCTTTATTTCCAGTCTTCATATCAGAGTCTTAATTACGAAGTCCTATTTATGTCTTATTTAGGAAGGTTCAACTATTGGGAATAATCAATTTTAGTTATATTTTTACATCTATTTGTTTTAAATAAATTTAGCATTAATTATTTTGTACACTAAAAGAAATATGTTAATTTTAGTAAAAATTTGCTTATTTTGTTCGAATAGAATTTTTTGTAGGTACAAAAATAACTGTTCAAATCGGACCCTTTTTGGGACAGATGGAGTAAAAATTATTCCAACTTCAGTGATGCCTTCCCAAAATGAGTATGTGACCTGCATAAACCAACTGAGCAGATCATTGGAGTTGAAATGACACATGTTTAATGTTTGTTTGGTCTTTCGAAAAGTGAACATTCATGCGTTATTTTGTATATATGTTTTCTATGAATAGTATATCCACGACACTGCATTACTCTAACTCGAATAAATTTAGCACTTATAAAACATGATAAAAAATATTAATCTTCTTGCTATGAAACTGTAACATTATTTAGTTCTATTATGTTAAGGAGTGTTTTATATTTACAAAGTCACTGTGCTCTACTATCACACAATAACCATCTATTATGATTTGTTTCTCTCTTCAGGTCAATATACTGACACATACAAGTAAAGTGAAATATACTACAAAGCAAAGAGCCCAGTTGGAAAAATTAAAGAAGGAACATGAAGAAGAAAAAGACTTGAAAGTGCTTTTCGGTAGTGGAAATGATGCATCAGAATGCATGGATTTTCCTGGGGGTACAACTTCCTCGATTCCAAATTCCAGCCCTGAGAGCTCAGCACGTTTAGAAGCAGACTTCATGCTGACCGAACAACCTCTGGATGTTGCACACAGCGGCGCTGTGTGGGATATATTTCGCCGGGAGGATGTGACTAAGTTAACACAATACTTACAGAAGCACTGGAAAGAGTTTCGTCACACAAAAAATGATCCTGTCAATTCTGTATGTATTTGTTATGGGTTACTATCAATTATGTTTCGAAGGCTACTTAGTTATTATAATACTCATTTTGTTTTCTTTAGGTCACTCATCCTATTCATGACCAGACATTTTATCTCAATGAGAAGCACAAGAAACAGCTGAAAGATGAATTCAGTATGATAAAGACCCCCCCATCAATTTTTTTCCAAATAGTTTTATGAGGTATGAACTAACATGTGATTTTTTTTATAACTCTGGTGTAGATGTTGAGCCTTGGACATTTGAGCAATACCTTGGGGAGGCTGTTTTTATTCCTGCAGGATGCCCACATCAAGTTCGAAATAGACAGGTGAAATTTTGTAAAAAAAGTGGTCATGTGAATATCATAGCTAATCTTGAACAGCTTTGATGACTATTATAAAAGGAGTCATTCTTATCCCTCAAAGTTATGTCATAATTATTAATAATTGATATAACATCATGTTTTCAAAAGTCAATTAGTTGACTATGATTATCTCAGTTGACTCAATGTAACTGTCAAATCTAATGGAAGTTGTCTATAATATGTGCTCTTGAAGGTAGAAACACTGTATCATTATAAGCTACAATTACTTCTCATTACCCCTCCACCTATACTACTCACAGAAAAAATGTATGTGAGAGTAGTACTGAAATATATGAACAAAATTCATGACATAATGATGAAAAAGTGATATGACTATAAAGAGTGTTTTAGATAAATGAGATTAATATTGACAGTTATATGAGATTAATGTTGAGAGAAGAGGAAGAACTTGTTAGAATAACTAAAGTTCAAAGAGTAACTTATTGACTTCTAAAAACACAAAGTTGGGATAAGCACCTAAAAACAAGGTTGGACTAGTAATTAAATTTAAAAAATTCACAAGGTTGAACTAATAATATGACTTAAACTCGAGGGGCAACAATAATTTTTCATTATTATAATACCCAACTACCCAAGTGAATATCAAGTCGGTTCAAGTTGCCTATATTTGTCACTTTTTGCAATTTGTAACACATGCACTCATTGTTTTGTTTATCGGGCTGTTACTCTTTTGCAGTCATGCATCAAAGTTGCAGTTGACTTTGTATCCCCTGAAAATGTTCAAGAGTGCATTCATTTGACAGAGGAGTTTCGCTTGCTTCCCAAATTGCACAGATCGAAGCAAGATATATTGGAGGTATATTGATTTGTTAAGCTCTCATTGCTAAGCAATTATGCACATGCACTACATAAATTTGTAAAATTCTTAGCATAAGAACAGACTTGTTAGTGAAACTGATCATCTTAAAAAATGTCCATAACAGACTTGCTCTTTTATTATGTTTGCATATGTTTATAGGTGAAAAAATTGACGCTTTATGGCGCTAGTGTGGCTATTGAAGAGGCGAGGAATCTCATGAAAAAACTTTCGTGAGTTTGTTTTTAGCGTTTCTAATAAAACACTTTTGTTACATTAATTCAGATTATTTCATATTTCATTAAATGTGATTTTGTTGCTCGATGGATTTCCGACATTGTAGTGGTGGTTCAAGAGAAGAGAGTCATGAAGCCTATCTATAATCCTATGATGTCATCAGCCGCTAGGGTTTTTTGGAGTCTCCCTTGAGGATTTGTGTTGAGAATGTATATTTGTTTTCACATTTACATTCAGTCAAATGATTTGAGTTGCAGAATACTAGAATGCATTCGGTTTTGTCAATACTAGATACTCACCCGCGCGATGCCCGGATGAAATTTGACCATAGTGTGATTAAGAATTGTATTAAAGAAACGCGTAAATAATTGAACTCATAATGAAGTGGCTAGTAATAATATAATAACTGTTTGTAGTTAAAGATAAATTGTAACATCGGTGACGAATTGGTAATGTAATTTATTTTCGCATAGTGAAATGTAAAAATTAAAAGAGAGAGATAATATTTCAAACTATGAAGTGGGTAGTAAATGAATAAGTGTTAATAGCGAAACTATAGATTCTGAAATACTTCTTTGTAAACAACATTAGTAGTATGATCGATTTGTTTGTCATCTTCATCACAGATCAATATTTTCAAGCCTTTGCGATTGGTAACTCTTTACGCTGCAACGTAAAGTTGATCATGAGTGAAGCATGGTTTTTTCAGTAAAAGTCCAACATGCGTTAGAGATTGACCTTGACTCTTGTTTATTGTCATTGCATAAGAGGTCATGATAGGGAATTGCCTTCTTTGGAACTTGAATGGTATTCTTGCATCTGATGGTGTTAATGTCAATCTTGGTATGACTACTTCACCATCAAATTTTCCCCCTAAAATTGTTTCTCCAAGAACATGATTTCCAAGCCTTGTAATAATCAACCTCGTGCCATTGCATAAGCCCATAGCATGATCAATGTTCCTCAACAGCATAACTGGAGTACCTACCTTTAAGGTGAGCTCATGATTTGGAACACCGGATGCACGTATCTTATTTAAGAATTCCGGTGTATGCAGATCTGCCAAGAAATCAGAATTACAGTCTGATTTGCAAATGCTATCAGAACTCAAATATGTCCTAGACTCCTCTGTGACATTCAATGTAGTCATGTACTCATTAATCGAGTCAACAACATCAAGTGTTGGGGCCAAAATTGCACGTTCTTTTAGGAATGATGGGTTAGTCGGCATAGCTTCAAAATTAGGATATGTACTGCGTACAATTGTTGCAATAGGGTCTTCACCACTTTACATCAAAATGTCACTTGGTATTTGTATATCAGCACAACCATCATTTTCACCACCTGCCGTTCCATCTCCCAAACTTGCTATCCAGTCAGCAAACTCAACCAAGTCAGCATAATCACGATCGTTACTTAACGATTGAAGCCTCATGTTCTTCGTTAAGCGTAAAACAATGCAATCTTGCCATATGTATGAGGAGTTAATTGTGGCATTAATTATGTCTTGTCTTGTACCTTTGGTAATCACCGGTAAGATTTGTCTGAAGTCTCCTCCAAAGACAATAGTTTTCCCTCCAAACGGCTTATCATTATTTAGAGGATCAACCACCCTCATAATATCACGAAAACTTCTATCCAAAGCTTCAAAACAATATTTATGCATCATTGGTGCCTCATCCCAAATAATAAGTTTGGATCTAATTATCAATTGGGCTAGTGGACTGTTTTGTTTGATGTTGCATGTGGAGTGCTCAGTTGTGTTTATTGGTATTGCAAAACGTGAGTGAGCTGTTCTTCCACCAGGTAATAATAATGAAGCAATCCCACTTGAAGCCACATTTAAAACAATTTCCCCATTTGACCTCAAAGCCGCTGACAACGTTTTCCAAATAAACGTTTTGCCTGTACCCCCGTACCCATAAACAAAGAACACTCCACCTTTGTTCTCCTCAATTGATTCAATAATAGTCTTGTACACTTCACTTTGCTGCTCATTCAAACTCTCCATGCATTTTTCATGCTCGTTGCGCATTTCTGCATGATCATATTGCAACTCATCATAAATAAATCTGTTCTGAAACATGTTTGCGTTACTGAACTTAGGAAATGACATTGATGGGTAGTCCTTCAGGCTTCGTCCCCGAGTCCTCAACATTGTCTCGATATCAAGTAATGCATAATTCTTTATTTCGTCTTCCGTCAACTTTAATTCTACAACAAAACATATAAACGTTTAATTCAACAGTAGTTTCGTGAATCATATTGTAAACAATAATGAGTTTAAACCACAAATTGTAATTTATGAATAACCTGGATGTAGCAAAGCTCGTCGTTGTCTATGTAGAATGTCATCAGACATCAAATTCCAACATTTCTCCCAAACGTATTCAGGTCTACTCATTGTATCCGCTACTAACAAAATGACAAAGAGAACTCTCAATCCCAATGCAGAAGCCCAAAAACTACTTTCCGTAAAACCTTCGATGTACTCTTTGTCATCGTCCAACAAACCCAATGCATAACATGCGTCACGATATGAGTCATAACAAACCCCGTCAACAGTTCGCAAATCGGCGAAAGACGTAGCACCACGCTTAAAATTCAGTATACATCGCAAATAAAAAGATTCTCCTGATCCAGGAGGGACATATGCCAGTCGGCCCAAAGCAAAACCCCTTTTCCGAGGAAAAAATTCCCTGGTTGCTGGCTTCCAAACAAACTTTTGAGGAAATTCAGCATAAGTTAAATTTTTAGCATCCGCATACTGATCATTGGCCTTCATCCATGCTAGAAACATGCTTTGTTTAACAGATTCACGTTGTACAACATCTGTCATTGTATCCTCGTCCTCAAAATATACATACTGCTCATCAAGAAAGTGAAAGCTCAAACGCTCAACAGATGGATTCTTATATTGTATCTCAAACCCTAATATACGCCACATTGCCTCACACGGTGAAATGTATCGACAATCATAGTACAATTTTATTTCATCCACGGGATTTTCTGAGCCATCCTTATTTGATGACTCATAGAATGCAGCTGTAACACGATCATTACCTTTATTCACATATTTGAAAAGATACTTGATAGACCTTGATTGGTTACACCACTCGACATTAAGATGAGCTCCATACTTCATTAACAAATACCTATTATGAGGAACAATGTGTCTGTTGTCAAGTGGGACACGATTTTTGACAATCGTTTTGCCATCGTCCCGTCTCATGTACTTAGGATAACCATCCTCGTCAATGTTAGTATGTACATTGAATTTCTTTGGAAAATGCTTAGAACATTTGGACTGAACCATGCACGACGCGTTTTTGCAATCACTGCCACACGGTCCATGCATCATATGCATTCGTACCTCATTAAAATAATCAGGATCACTCGATTAATCAGGTATTTCGGCTGATATAATGCAATCTATATCTGCAGGAGTGGGAAATTTATCTGCATTTCCCATGAACAACAATATATGGGCATGTGGGAGGCCACGCTTTTGGAACTCAATAGTGTATACTACTGCATGAAATAACAATAAGCATTGCAATCAATTATTATATAACATGAACAATTACTTTATTAATAATTTGAGAACTAAAATTTTGCTAACCTGCCCGAACATCACCAAAGATTTTATTTTGTCGTAGATCTTTTATCAATCCATCTAACTTGATCTTGAAGACTCGACAGATTATATCAGGCCGATCTTCAGGATTCAAATTTCTTTCAGAAAGGAACCTAACAATCTCAGGCCATTAGGATTGCAAGTGAAAGTCAAGAAAAGATCTGGATATCCAGCCCATCGACATATAGCCATTGCATCTTGATAATTTTGAACCATGTATCTGGCTCCTCCAACAAATGTGGGTGGTAGGACTATTCTCTTTCCTTGGGTAGAAGCATCTCGTTCACCACTCAATAACGCCTCTGAAAGGCCTTTGTACATTTCACATCTTAATTGCTTTTGATGCAATCTTATATAAGTTAGTCTGGATGATTCAACCATCGTGTAACCGTCTACCACAAATTGTTGAAACAATCTCCTAGCTTTGAGGATAAAGGAATTCTCAAAACCACGATCATGTAATCGATATGCCAGAAATTCGCGTATGCTAACACTTCGGTGACCTTTACTGCCCGTACTCCTAGAATCTGAGAAACTTATATCCTCTCTATACCCATCTTCACCATAAGGAAACAGAAGTGGATACTGAAGCCCCAAATAAGTAGGATTCAGCTCATTGATTCGTTTCAAAACACCCCCTTGAGTTTCTACCATTATGTCTCTTTGCCCCAAAGATTCATCAAAGTCACCCACTATCGAAGCCGCCACTTCAGACACCGTTGGCAAATTATATGTTCTAGCATCTCTACCTCTCCGGCCAATCAACTTCAAGTTAACATTAGAATGTCCACATTCTGCAATCTTATCTCTAACCATCCTAAAAGACTTGACCAAAACGTTATGTTGATCCAACATGAGCCTTAGGGTAGAGACAATGTCAACATGCAATTTGTTCTTTCGTAGATCATCCCTAAAGTTGGAAAACAAAAGTACAACAATGTTTACTAAAATGGCATAATGAAAAAGAAAAATAATTTATCTTGTATTAGATAATTACCCCACTGAGTTAAGGCGATTGACATCTTCATGTTGCGTGTCATAGATATACAATTGGGCAAATTTGGGGACATTTCCTTCCTCGGGCAACAAACTACCAATGAGATGATAGTTTTGACCGCTAAGTTTAAAGACTGGAGGTGACCCACCCCTATTGATTTCTCTATCAACCCTTCCGCCCATTGATGTGAAAGAAAACATACTATTGTATGATCGAATATTATCCTGAAAGTGTTTGGATTTGGGATCCGTACCATCCATCAAATCACACAATTCTTTTGGAGCCTCTTTGTGAGTTGGTAGTTGGATCTTCCCTTGACCGCAACATATAGAATACTTGGGGCTTGTTTTAGTAGAACTTCGTAGCAATCTTTCTTTATACCAAAACAATGCCCCACAATGTTCACAATTGTAAGTGAGATCACCAACGTCCCAATATTCACTGTTCATTACATCTACAAAAGTAATCATATGTTAACCAAGAAGTGATTACCATTCGTGAAGAAATGCAATTCATAATTTTCTCACCTTCACCAACGTTCATATATGATGGATGTGCATCCTCAATGTTAGGCAATTGAGGTTGTGGTACAATAGCAGTAGGACGTTGTATTCCACAAATGCTGGATATGTCATTCACGTTTTGCGTGATCAATATTACTGAAGAGTTTAACGGGAACTGCAACACTGTAATTCTCATTTTCATTATAACTAATCAATTGGCATAGTAGTGCATATATACATATATCTATATATTATAAATATTTACATATACAAATATATTAGAT